GGGGCCCCGAGGCCGGGCCTCCTCCCGCAGCCGCTCGTGGTCGCGCAGCCGGGCCTCGCCCCGCAGGCGGCGCAGCTTGTTGCGGTAGACGTCCCGAGTGGTGTCGGTGATGGGGCCTGGCTGGAAGCCCAGGGCCTGCAGCTCCCGCCGCAGCTCCAGGTCCGACAGGCCGGCCATGGCCAGGACACCGCCCCCTCGCCCGCCCCCGGCGCGCACCGCACCCGGAACTGCTCCCGCCGGCAGCCGCGGCAGAGCGGGCGGGGCCGCGCGCCATGATGGGAAGGTCGAGTTCGGACGCCATATTGGGGAGGGCGGCGCCTGGCGGATATTTCCGCCATGATGAGAAGGTCTGGCTCGGCCTAGCGCCGCCATGTTGATGAGGTCCAAGAATTGGGTTGGTTATTTTTTGGGGTGTTTTCAGCTCTTCCCCCGCCCGCTAGTTTTCCTTTGTTTGTTAGACCTAGCGGTATTTATCTTTGATCCTAACGTAGTGCTAATGTGTAGTAGATGTTCAATAAAATGTTGATTTATTTAATGGGTGAGCTTCTCAGTAGTGTAAGAAAGCCATTGCCAATAGTAGAAATCATGATCACTCGCCAGTCTCGGGGTGGGGGTGGGGGGCTGTGTGTGATTGGGCTTGATTTGGGTGGTGGAGTATGTGCCAGGCATGCTGAGGCCTTATCTTGACTGTTTCAGGCCACCTTCAGATATGCATTTGGTCAACAATGAACACCAAGAGTGTGTACCCTGGGGCTGGAGAGATGGCTCTGTAGTTAAAAGCACTTGATGTTCTTGCAGATGAACAACTAGGTTTGGGTCCCATTACCTAGATGACGGCTCACAGCCATTGGTAACTTCAGTTCAGAGGACCTGATTCCGGCCTCCACAGGCAGTGCACGAACCTGGTGCACAGACCTGTGGGTAAAACACTCACGTATAAAATAAAAACAAATGTATTTTATTTTTTAAAGTGCAGCCCTGGGACAGATTGGTCCTCAGTGGCCACAGAGGTAATGTTGCAGGATATTTGATCACACGGTGTGAAAATGAGTCTGTTTTACCTCACCTGCCTTAGGTGCCTTCTGACTGGTTTAATAAAGAGATGAATGGCCAATAGCAAGCTAGGCAGGAGAGGATAGGCGGGACTTGGGGAGGGG